TTACAGACTTTGTACTGTATTAAGGGCTTTTGTTCTGTGTAGATTGTAAAGGCCCTGCCATCAAGCATATACAAAATTTCCTAATCGACACATATATAACCAATAATTCTTGATCCTAAGTTGACCATTTCCTTTGACTTTTGCTGAGTTTAATGGATAGAAACACAATAGGTACCCTAACTGAATAATGCAATTGCATTAATGAGCTACCAACCGCAACATCCGATGCATCCAGGAACTGCGTTTCTGAGAAGGGTTGCCTTGGCAATTGTCCTTTTTGCACTGTGAATGCTTTCTCAGCTTTGTCGTCCCATTCAATAGGGTATCCTTTTGTTTTGCTTGGTTGTTAAGGTTTCTTTTTATTAATGCAGCCTTCCAATAACCTATTCAAGGGAGCTGAAACATGTGAAGCTCTTGGGACAAAATGTCTGTAAAAGTAAAAAATGCTGAGAAATTTCTTTAACTGAGTTAAAGAGCTCGGTTTAAGAAAATTTTCAATGGCTTCCACTCTGTCGGTAAATGTTTTAAACCCTGTTCAGATACGTAAAAATCTAAAAACTCCAAAGATGTTACACCAAAATTGCATTTAGATACATTAATTCTTAACCTGTAATTACTTAATCTTTCAAACAGAGCTTTCAAGTGTATCAAATGCTCAGTTTCATCCTTTGACGCGATCAGTATATCATCAACAAAAGCAAATACTTATGGCAGCTTACAAATTACTTCATCAATAAACTGCTGAAAGGTTGCAGCTGCATTGCATAGCCCAAACTGCATTCCTGTGCTCTCAAAAAGTCCACAAAAAGAATTTACTTGACTTTCTGTCTATAATAAAAAGGCGATGAGACTCAGAGGTTGAAGTGCAAGTCACCATTATACTTTTCCTGAAACACACATATTGGCTTTCTTAATAAATTTGCAATGATAGTAGCAATTGGAAAATCTTGAAGCAGCTCTAGGTGAAAGGCTTCGCTTTCTGTTAAAGGGGTTTTCAAAAACACTGCATGATCGATGTGGAGACAATACCTTACCACGCAATTTGCAGACGTCATTCAACAGGAAATCCAATTTAGAATTATTAGATGCAGTGACTAATAGAAACTGTGCTTACCTGAATGGATATAACTTCCAATATTCAATTGGCAAAGCTGGCAGCTTTCAAAGAATTGAGTGGCTCAACAGACGTGGGGATAGGCTGAATATTTGAGAGCATTTGCTGAATAAACAACTCCAGTAATAATGAGTCGTATATGTCATGTTTTTCAGCTTGCCTTTTTATGACACAAAGCAATTCGAATAGTTTTCTGTCTCCAAGCTGCTCCCTATTCAGTAATTTTTTGATTTCCTTGGTGCTGCTTTCCCTTCATCGATCTGTAATGGTAGCTTTCAAGTCTTTGTAAGAAGAATCTGTGCTTTCCCGAAGTATGGTATCTCGAACCAAAGAAGCAATGTTAAATTTCGTTTTGGGATACGTAACAGGTTTGGGTATGGTTAAAGCCAAAGTTAATTCGCACACAGCAAACCATAATGCCGGCTCAATAGGATTGTTAATTGGTATCTTAACAGCTGCTGTTTCTTCCATGGCAGTGGCTGTAGTAAAGAAAACGAAAGTCCTGAAAACCAAGCTTCTGAAGTTTTATGTATGTAGATGGGTTGCCATTCTAGGTGCGAAGGATATGTCTCAGTGAATATTCTTAGAAGACACAACTCCACATCGCTTAAACACAACTTTATTAACACAACCATTCATTAACTATTCATAAAACAGGAAACTTCTACATGAATGTACGAACATTCCTTGGATTCGATATAAAGGCAATGTGAGTGAGTGAGCTGGTTGCACTGGCGGTTATTACAAAAACAACAAAACATCACCTGGCGGCACGTGCAGCCCAACATAAGATTGCCACAAACTTAAACAGAAATAGCTTACAAATGTTTTATCTTAGAACTGCTTGGAAAACTGAGATTTTTCATATAAAATCCATTTTATCCATTCTTCAAATTCTCAGACTTTGTCTCTACATATACCCAGTACAATTTCCACTAAATTCAAACCTCACTTGGTCAAACCTTATTACGAAGGAACTAAAACAAAAAAGGCAAAAACTGAGCTGAGAGCAGCAACTTTTTCAGTACCTCATTGGCAAGCGGACGATAAGAAAGGAATAAAATGGAAACACGATATTCTAACAATTCTTTAAAAGCTGGATATTATTAATGTACTAAAAAGAGGTGAGAATGAAGCATTATAAGGAGGTGTTTGATTTTTGTTTATTTATAATATCATAAAGAAGAAAAGTTAAATTACAAAATTTCTTATCAGACGTTGCTACTCTAAACACATAAATACTTGGAAAACATTAAAAATACTTAACTGTCCAGAACAATTACAGAGAAATACGAAATTGACTGATTGCAGAGAAATACAAAAGTAAGTTTATAACAAGACATATGCTGATAGAAAAAGCTAAGCAACTTAACTTAAAAATGAATTTGCCAAAAAATATTACTGTTTCCATAAGAATAATTTCTACTTTTAAAATAAGACTTGTATTTGTAAACACGGTATTTCATGCCAACAAAACCTTGATGATAAAGATTCTGTACAATTCTGTTCTTAAGTTAACTGTCCATTTGATTTAACAAGCTAACTTCTAATGTCATTGAAACTATGAATAATTTTCCTTTTTTCATAAATAATGCTGACGAAACTGATCTTTTACAGTGCTGTTGGCCAAATTCTACATTACCAGGTTCAAAGGTATATGCACAGAAGATTTTATACTAAATAAGGATAAGTTAACTGTTTTATTTTGTGAAAATGCTGCTTTTGGTTACAATATATTTAAACATTTTGTTACTAGGAATTACAAAAAGTGTAAAGTATTCTAGAATTCCATTGATTGGCTAGCAATTTATTAAGTTCAGTCAAACATGTGGATGATTGCAGAAATACTTGTAGATTTTTTTTTCTGCCTACAACTTTGTACCAGCTGCTAAATGCAAGTTTGGAAAACTTGGCCTTTCAAGCAAATGAAATGCAATTTTGTTTCTGGACAGTTGTAAAGCACAATGTACGACATTTGATTTTGCATCTTTTGATTTTTTGATTTTGCACTAAGAAATGTTATTGCATCATATTTCCTGCCAAACATAAAGGCCTTGATTTCATGGAATAAGATGTTAGTTAAAATTTAAGGTATAAACAAAGAATTCCATTTGAAAAAAAAAAAAAAAAAAAAAAAAAAAACTCTGAAGTATCAAAGACCTTTCAAGTTGAATTCAACATAAAAGTTGCAATTCCCATGGCTGCATTTCTTGCAAATACTTTAATAGCATAATATTGTGTAATGCTTGGTGAAATTTGTGGCCTATGTTATGAAGTAGAATTCTACCATAGAAGGTGAAAATTTAAATAACCTAATGACCACCCCTCTAAAAAACAGTCTATTAATCACGTTTTCAAAAAATGAAGCTATTAAATGAACTAAAAATGTTAAAAATGAAAGAACTGTAGAACAATTAGATGGATAATGGTTACAGCCGAAATCATCGCGGCAAAAACATCGCGGAGAAAAACAACGCAAGGCGAAAACGTCGTGCTATAAAACATCGCAGTTCTAAAACATCGTGGTACAAAACATCGTCGTCGAAAATAAAGCGGTTAAAAAACTTCGCAGTCGAAAATATCGTAGTAAAAAATAAAGTATCTACAAATCATCGCATGACGATAACAGCGCACATCGCACATGTTTTTTTTCAGGCTTTAATAACTGTAAATGGATATTTCCATAATGATTTGTGAGCGCAAGTGATGTAAGGAAGGATAATTTTTATTTTCACATTTTTTTTTATTAACTAATAAATTTTTGCTGAAAAAATCAGAAGGAAATTTAAGCATAGAAAATTAAATGCAACTTATAAATTATACTTTTTATGAAAAAATTACCTGTAAAATCTTTATAAAAAATTATTTATTAATGGTCTTGTTAGTTAACTACGTCGATTTTTAAAATTCTATTAAGTGCTATAAGTTGCATTAATTTTCTATGCTTAAGTTTTCTTCTTATTTTCTCAGCAAAAATTTAATATTTAATAAAAAATATGAAAGTAAAAATTATCCTTCTTTAACATCTTGCGCTCACAAATCATTATGGGAATATCCATTTACAGTTATTAAAGCCTGAAAAAAAAGCATGTCTGCGATGTTATCGTCATGCGATGATTTGTAGATACTTTATTTTTTACCACGATATTTTCGACGACGATGTTTTTAAACTGCGAAGTTTTTGGACTGCTTTATTTTCGATGACGATGTTTTGTACCACGATGTTTTAGAACTGCAATGTTTCTCCCACGATGTTTTGTAGCATGACGTTTTCGCCTTGCGTTGTTTTCTCTGCGACGTTTTCGTCCGCGATGTTATCGGCGGACACCTGGATAATACCAGAATCAAAAGTTTGTTGCATTCAATGGTAGCAGAGAAAACTGTGAGTCATGAAGAAAAATTTAACCAAGATCACTTTTGGCATGGTCTGAAATTCTCCTTCCCTCCCCCCCCCAAAAAAAATAAAGAAAATTATATTGGAGAAATAATGAATATTCATATTCTGTGGAGTGATTAAATAAATAGTGGAGTCCATGATGGCCATTACAACCAGTGTAGAGTGACCATTAGAACATACAAACTTCTTTCAAAAAGACAGTTGTAATAATTATGATTTCAAATTAAAAATTGATTAAATAAAGCTAAACTATAAATAAATTTCTTTATAAATACTTTTTCTCATTAAATATGTTTATAAAATTATATCTGCAATTTTTTCATTCTTTAATACATTCAATAACATTAAAAAAAAAAAAAAAAAAAGGCTTTGCTGTAGTGCACAATTTCAGTCACAATATCAGGTATCACGTAAGTCCCAAATGTGTCAAATTATACAACTTCTGCTTTATGAACATACATGAAAAAGTATAAAAAGCTGCTTGCTTACTTGACAAATTCTACTGGATGCTCTTTTAGAAGATTAGTAGCTTGTGTTTCAACAAAAGAAGAAATTTCATAGCTTCGATTCCTTTCTAAATATAAAAAGTACATAAAAGTAAGATACCAGCATAACTAATTAAAAATCAGAAATAATAGTAATTGCAATTATAACCAATAATCCTTAATTCAAAAAGGTTGCATGAAAAGCCATGCCATACACATGAAACTTACATTAATTGAATTTGGCTATTAAAAACATGTTAAAGCTCTCTATTTGACAAACAGAAGAAATGTAGGATGTAATAACATTTGAAACTATACATGTAGTGCAAATAAAACTGCAACATATTCAACAAATATTTTAGCAAAAGGTTTGCAAAGAGAAAATGCTTGGGTTTCTTTGATTAAAGCCACATCCTTATCACTCCTCAACCATTTATTTGTTAGATTCTCCTCCTCTGACCATGCTGCTCTCTCTCATCAAGATGGTTCTATGGAGACAACATTTAGAGCCAATTCAAGCTATTTAAAACAACATATCTATGACAGATACCAAAAAAGGCATTCTACCTATGTTTGCAGGAGTATTAAGGACATTTCAGCAAACACAAGTATTTTATATTCTAATAGATGATACTCCAAAGATGACCAGATAATAATTTTTACATTCCAAAATGGAAGTGCACTACAAGCTTTTCCATGAATGTTTCTGAATGCAAGAATATATTTTTATCCCATACAATACTAAAAATTACATTTTTTATTTTAAAACCACAAATAAATATCCCCTTTTGCAAATATTTTTAATAAATAAGATGCTAAAATTAAACATTCACAAACTGGATATAAGCTTCCAAAAATTAAACATTCATTTGTTTCTCCAGTCTTATGAAAGCAATGCTTGCTAATTTTTGTCTTTACAACCAATTTCACTTATTTTTCAATTAAAAATGTTAATTATGTAATTTTTCAAAATAAATAAATATTTAAATAAAAATAAAAGAAATAAAATAATAATAATCAAGTACAGAATAATAATAATAAACATTTGGAAGGGTAAAAAATTATAATAAAAAATAATAATCATAATAAAAAATAATAATCATCATAATAAAATAATAACAGTAATAAACATTTGGAAGGGAAAAAATTATAATCTTTGATCTAAAGCATTTTATGCATCATATTTTCTAAAGCAAATAATATTTCACTAGATCAGATCATAATTTAGTTCTAAAATGATGAGTTGCCAACAAGTAATTCTGGAACATTTTAGATTTTATTTTCTACATTGAAATCCTTCAAAAAATGAGTAAACAGCATTTGTAATTCAGGGAGACTGGCAAGATATAGTTTCATAAGTTTGGAAACAAATTGTTAACTCAAAATAATATATAACATTTTCATTTTTAAGACTTCAGTCCCTGTTTTGTTACAAAACTATCAAGAATGAAAGTTGGTACACTTTAAAATTGCTTTAACATACATGCATTTAAAATTTTTACTTAAGTATTTTGATTTTCTCCTTCACATAAAATTACATATAAGCAATTAATATTAAAATACACCATAAATTACACAATATTTTAATATATAAATTTCATGCATTTACATTGCTTTGTGTTTATTTACATATAGAATTACAGGTATAAAATTAAAATGATAATGTGAAAACACATGCATGCAGTACATCAATAATTCAATTTCTTCAAATAGCAGAATTTTATATAAGAATATTTTAAATAATGCATCATTCCAAGCATAAAACACTGCATTTTACAAGGAAAAAAAGGCCTATGTATAATAAAATCTTATAAATCAACTTGGTGTGTTGAAAGTGTTTCATAAAAAAGGTGATTAAATGACCTAAAAACCTGATGTAATATTAAATAAATCTGTTTTCACATAATACAGAATTTCAGGCAAAAATTATATTTTACCTTCATAGAGATTTCATGGTCATAAGTTTCAGAATTACGACAAAGGTGGTTTCCGAAAAGACTGTGAAACCACCACGCATCTAGGACTTTGAAACTTACATTTTTCCATGCACATTTCCAATAAGTGACAAAATTTACGAATTAAAAAAAAAAAGCCGCATGTAAGAATTGCATAATATATATATATATATATATTACATTATTTTACAAACTAAATCGTCAGAAAAAATTTAAAAATAAACATTTATGTAATTTTTCTATAGCAGTGAAAGTATAAGTATGCACATAATAAAGACGTCTGGCTACATGGATTAAAAAAAACTCAGTAAAATAAGGATAAAAAAAGACTCAGTGTTTTTTTTTTTTTAATTTCAAAGAACTATCGTATTTTGTCTCAAAATATTCAGAAAATATTTTTAATTTAAATAAAACTTTACAACGATTTCTATTTTTATTACACAGCAAAGTATATTTACATTAAATTTAAACCACAGAAAATAATTTATAAAATCACATACTAGCTTGGGAGCAAGTGTGTTGAGGTCAGAGAAAAGTCTCTGAAAAGAAAAGACTTTTTACTGGGCAATGCATGTATTGTTTAGTATAAAATACTCTGAACTCTCTGTGATTTCAAAACCCTTCTCTATATCCGGGTAAAAATAAACATTCTTATTTGAGAAGCAAGCAAACGCCATTGTGAAGAGAAGTGGTTTCAAGGTGTGACCACTGAGCCTCTAGATGATTATGACCATTGAGACACAATGCTCTAGTGGGGCAGTGGTCGTGCCCTGAAACCGCAAAGCAAATGCCATACATATAGAGGGTTTTTTTCTTTATATGCAGTTTAATTATTGCTATTTTTTATTGTTTATGATAGAAATTATGATGTGCGATGAATAACTTTTGAAATTTAAAGTTGTTTATATTAATAAAAGGAAGTTATTTTGTCTCATTGAAAACAAATTTTAAAAGGCATCCGATTTGAAGTACTAAGACCAAAAACATGTATGATTCTGCAGTCATTTTGTGTTATTTAGAGGTAAAAGATCAGTAATCAATCGATTTTCACTCAAAAATTTCGGAAGGAAGAGGAGAAAAAATTCGAAAATTGGTAGTTTCAAGGCACGACCACCGCACGTCAAAGGGTTAACTGGAATAGGGTCTTACATTTGGGCAGCTACAGCCACATGAATTAGCAACATTTGTGTACATTTTCAACATAATGTGGAATCACTGTTTCTCACTCAAACGTTTGTTCAATACTTAATCCACCCCATTATAAATGGACTCTCTTTTCCAATGTTACATGCATACACTGTAATGAGAATAGAGGTTTATGTGAGTAGCCATAATGCTCTTGAAACAGGAGTAGCAGTTGTTGGAAATACAGAAATGGCTATAACAAGATGCTCCTATATCCCACTAAGTGTGAAGATGAGACCTTCTTATGGTTGTATTACTAGACTATATGAAACATAAATTAGATTGTATAAGCTAAAACTAAAATGCCATTTAATGAAATGGCATCACTAAGGGGTCATCAAAAAATGAAAAGTTCATCAGAACTGCAGAAATGTAATATTTATAGCAATGTTCATATATGATTGTGATGACATTACCCTAGCACAAATCATACCTCAGAGATATATCATCATTGAGTACCGTCATTATTCATTTTGAAGAATCAAAAGGCAAATGCAGCTGAAATGTAATTAAAACAAAGTAAAATACTCTTGGCTGAAACAAAGTGTGTTTTAATGTGTTAACCAAGAACATTATATTTTGTTTTATCATTGCTTCAGGAATTTAACCAGTAACTAGCACAGCAAAAGAAGTTGTAGCAAATTCTACAGAATCTTCAGATCATTTTGCAGGATAATGCTTAGATTCATGCAATGCAGCATACAGTAGATTTGCTTGCTCAATGGGGATGAAAAATGCTCTAACAACAATCAAATTCCTTAGACTTAAAATCTTGTGACTATGATTGGATACCTAACATGAAGGAACCATTTTATGGTTTTTGTTTCTACACTGCTCCAGAGATTCTTCACTCCACTGAACCATGAAGAAAACACATTGCTGCAGATCATTCCTGAAACCAGATCATACAGAATGCTGACAATTACATCATACAAGAATACATGTTTAGAGAGGTACCATTTTCATGCAAGTTATAGATAAATAACTGCCACTACTTTAGTTCCAACTTTGTATTAAAGAATGATTAACCAGCATGTTTACTAAATTTAAAATGAATTATATTCTGGAACTTGAGTGTGTGTGTGCATATATATATCACTAATTCTCAAACTGTGGTACATTACAATATTTTTAGTAGTACAATTTTTACAGAAAAAAATTATACAAATGTCCTAAATGAATGTAAAATTGTGCCCCTTTTAACATTTTGTATTAATCTTTATTATTCAGAAACACATATATTTTTCAAGTTTTTTACTTTTATGGCTCTAGCTTTAATTTTGAAATGACGGCTTTTCAAAGAATTTTGAAGAATTTCCTAACGTTATAATTTCCATAAGAATCGTAGAGGCACTCCAGTTCAGTTTTCCACCTTCCCCTCCCTTTGCAAGCTAAATATGTTCACCAATTAGAATAACGATCAATTTGCCAGTATTTCATATGATTATAATTCTATGCGCTATTGCATTTTATGTTCTTGGCTTATTTTAATAATTTATTTTACACCTTAACAACAAAACTTGGTAAGTACGTTTAATAACGTGCTTCAATTAAAAGAAAAATGACTAAATTTCACATTCACCAGATTTTTAAACTTTGTAATATCCAAAATGTCAAAAAGACAGCCTGTATATATATTTTTAAATGTATCTTGACACCTGTGACTCAGGTGTGTTCTTTGCTATAACTACATTATTTGCTTAATATATCTATTATTACTCAATATTTACCATAATTGTTATATATAAATATACATATATACTCAACATAACTTAATTATATTTTATTGTAAAAATTTCATTTATGAAGATAATTAAATAATCTAAATTTAAAGGGTTTTATTCTTTGATACACTCCATTTAGGATGCATTGACTATTAATGGTGAAATGCTTTTATGGTGGTACATATATTTTTGTTTCATATTTATATGGTATAAAATTTGAAAAGCTTGAGAATCCCTGGTGTATATATACGTTGTAGGATTCAAAAGTTCCTGGACTGAGCATATAATGTAAAAATTTTTTGCAGTAATGTGACTACGAGAATGTTTTTGTGTTACTACATTATTCCCCTTTTTTAAAAGTCGTTTGCCCCCAATCACATGTTTGAAAATTCGTGACAACAGCATTTTTTGTAGGCAGGTACATTTAGTAACCAGCAATAGAAAAAAATAGCGTCAGTTGAGCACAGAAAAATCAATATCAAATTTTGTGTCTGCTTGGGAAAGAGTGCTATGAAGACTTTCTAAATGTTGAAGCATGCGTACGGAACTGAAATGTTATCGAGAACACATGCTTTTGAGTGGCCTCATTGTTTCAGAGAAGGCAGGGAAAGTTCTGAAGAAGGCAAATGCTGTGGCCATCCCGCAATTTTGCCGATGAAAACATAAAAAAGATGCCTGCGGCAATGCATGCAAACAGGTGGCAAACAATTTGCCAAATAGCAGAATGAGTTGGGATATCAGAGGCCACACGTCAGCAGATACTGACTAAACATGCACAGGGTGTGTCAACAAATTGTTACCTGCATGTTATACACAGACCAAAAGGGAATTCGAATGGAAATGGCGGGAGACTTAATCTCGGCTGTAGACAAAAAGATACTTCCCTACTTGGCAGAATTGTTACTGGAGATGAGAAATCGTATTTTTTGTACAACCCGCAAACCAAGAGAGCATCAACAATGTGGGAATCACCACAATCTCCACGGATGCAGAAATTACGCCAAGATCGCTCCAAAGGAAAGGTCATGTTGGAGGTATTCTTCTATATCCAGGGCATTATGCATCTGGAATTTATCCCTAAAGGACACACTGTGAACAAAGAATTCTAAGTCAAAAATCCTGCGTCGTTTGTGTGAGTGGATCCGGAAGAAGAGACCAAAAATTTCGACCGAGTAGTCATGGGTGCTGCGGCATAATAACGTTCCTGCTCACCGATCCCTACTCGTCAATGACTTTCTTGCAAAAACAACTGTTTTGCCTCATCCTCCTTACTCACCTGATCTCACACTCTGTGATTTCTTCCTATCTCCTGAATTGGCAAGACGCTTGCAGCATCCTTGATTTCAATCTTCAGATAAAGTTAAATGTGCATCGTCGGCTGAATTAAAGGACATGGCCAAAAATGGATTCCAGACATGCTTTGATTAACTTGCTGGCAAAAGTGTGTGGTGCACAAGGATCTCATTTCGAAGGAGGATGTGTTTCTGCAATTTAATTCATAATACTTTTTGTGTTATAGACTCAGTCCAGGAACTTTTGAATCCTACCTCGTATACATACATGCACACACAGATGGAAAATGAAGTCCCAATACCAAGAAGAAATCAGTTCAGCGGAATAAAATGTATGAAATGCAAGTAAAACATTTATCTATGTAGCACATTTATTTGATTAATGTTCAAGGTCAATGATTAAGTATACTTGAGAAAAACTACTGCACATGTGAAATGGTGGCAGATTAATATCTGCTGTAATTGCCATGATGTTCAGTGCAAACATGCAAATGTGCATGCATTACATCATACAGGTGCCATATGTCATTTTGTGCGATAGAGTTCCATCCTGTTGCATGTGGTCTGTCAAATCACTAACAGTCCATGACAGTTGTGGATGACATGTGGATTGTCATCCAGTCATGTCTCATATGTGCTCAATAGGAGAAAGATTAGGCGATGTCATAGGCAAGGCAGCATACTGCCATTCCGTACAGCACGTTGAGAGATAGCTGTGGTAAGGGGATGAGCATTATCCAGTTAAAAATGCTGCCTGGAATATTGCTCAAAATTGGCAGCACAATCAGTAATATCAACCAGTTTAACAAATAAATGTGCCATCAAGATGTTAGGGATAATGAGGGTGCTCTTGCTGTCATGGGAAATTGCTCCCCAGACCTTAACTAGAGCAAGTCCAATGTGTCTACATCACAAACAGCTTGGTTCCAAGTGGTCACTTGGCTTTTTACTAACCAACATACAGCCATCACTGGCACCAGAACAGATAGAACTAAAAACACAACAGATCTCCAGTCTACACTCCAATGAGCTCTCATTAGATACCACTGAAATTGTACTCATTTGGAGGAGTTTTGCCACTACACAGCATCTAGCTCACAGCTGTCCATCAAGTAATCAATTTATTACAGTTCACTATGTCACTTTGGTGGCAACAAAAATCTCAAATGTCTGCTGCACATACAATGTGATGCAGCATAGACAAGAAACAAATATAGTGGTCCTTGCTTTGAGTGATGTTATATGGATGGCTGGACCCCTCCACTTCATTTGCTTTCTTGAGACAATATTTTCCTGTGACTATTGCTGCAAACATGCACGCATGTTCTGTGGATACATCTCAGCCATATCCTTCTACAATATTGTGAAAAGAAAAACCACCTTCTCATTATCCTATTATATGGCTTTGTTCAAACTCAGTAAGCTGCTAATAATGCATTCTTCATCTCCTTAAAGGTATTTTTGACTCAAATCTTACTCACAACACCCTATACAAAAGATAAATAAAGCACACAAACTTTACATCATGTATTTAAAACAAACATGATTTGCATATTAATAGTGGCAATACTAGCTTCATACTTATTCAGCTAGCATGAAATTTGAATGACCATTACCTTCCTGATTTGCAAATGTGCCTCCCAAATTTCATTTGTCTAGCACAACTCCTTCTTGGAGTTGGGATTTCATTTTCCATAAGTGTATATTATCTTATTTTGACTTGACTTTAATTTATTACATACTTTCAGCATATTCAAAAGAATGGAAACGGACTGGTTGAGTATAATGTACAAGAGCAGACATCTCTGCACCAGCTTCTGATTCTTTAGCAGCAGTTCCCTAAAAAAAAAAAAAAAAAAAAAAAAAAAAAAAAAAAAAAAAGAAAGTCTTTATATTTATAAAAATTTACACCATAATTTAACATGAAAAAATAATGCAATATGGCTTTATAAATTAAAAGTACTCAAGTTCATAGAAAAATGTAAGTACTTGCAAAATTTTAAATGTGTTATGCAAAAACTATTTAAAAATAAATAAATAAATATTAAAGAAACAAAATAATTTCTTGCCTTCTAATATGAAATTTTGTATGGAAAATTGCAGAAGTTTGCATGTAAATAAAATGTGATGAAAACACATTTAGTTACATTACAGGGTTTCATTTATATTACTGCTACATCCCAAATTTTTGTATTTGTAAAACTTTTGTTTTGCTGTAGATGAAGAAATATGACTTAACTTTTCTAAAGATATTTAAGTCTATCAAAATTGTAAAAACAACCTTGTATTTAGCGTAGGTATAATGAAACACTCAATCGATTTCGAGGGCAGCTAAAGGTCCCTCCTCATCAGGAGAAAGAAATACCTAGAAAGAAGAAAATAAAGGAGAAGGAGTCTTAGAAACACGTGGTCCTTATCAGCACTGCACGTGGTTAAAACTGGAAATATAAAAATCCGTTCAGTGGTTGCTTTCCATTATTTGAAGGTCAGATTTTGAGCGTGAAGGTGCATTTGCCCCTCGCTCCCTATTTTAACTTCGCTAATTTTTCTTGTACTTTATGCTTGATCAGATAGCCTGGCTCAGTAAAAGTAGGCGGCCAGTGCAACTCTGATTAAAAATCCAGTTTTAACCACGTGCAGTGCTGATAAGGACCCCGTGTTTCTAAGACTCCTTCTCCTTTATTTTCTTCTTTCTAGTTATTTCTTTCTCCTGATGAGGAGGGACCTTTAGCTGCTTTCGAAATCGATTGAGTGTTTCATTATACCTACACTAAATACAAGGTTGTTTTTACGATTTTGATTGTCACATTAGCGTGTTTCTCTTCTAGTCCATATTTAAGTCTATTAAAGTGTTTGCACAGTTCATATTAACTACTTTATTAAAAAAAATAAAGGATTTAAATTTTACTCAGCTCAAACATTTCATTATAATAAAAAAAATTCCCTTTCACATAAAAGCCTAAAAAACTTATTTCTTATAAAATATTGTTACGGATTTGGTATTTAAATAGTTTTATTTATAATTCTACTAATATGTAGAATTATAAATAAAATTGTTTTATTCCCCGCGCAGTGCAGCGTGTGACAAATATTAAAAGAAAGCTAAGCCGGAAAATTAAAAATATACGAGCACGTGCATTTAACATTTAATAAATAAATATCTTTTTGATTTCAAGAAATTGCTAGAACAATCGCACGTGATTTAAAAAGCTTATAAAAAGTAGGAAATCTTCTCAATTTAGTTATTAGTTAGTTTTTGTTTTTAAGAGTTTGTTTAGAAAACTGCTCTGGTTGACAGTAGCGAATTCACGAATTAGCAACCTCTAGCTGTTTTGAATTAAGTTCTGTTGAATGTTTGAGTAGTTAAAAGATAAATATTGTGAGATATTGTAATACTGTATGAATATCTGAGGAAATTTAAGCATTTTGTTTTATTTGTTCTGATAATACATTTGTTCTGATGTACAGTTTGTTCATTTTTCATAGGACTTTGCATTCAATTAATAACGAACCCATACGCATGCAACAATATGTTTACAAGTACTTCCTCTATTCTGTAAAAACTGACTCATAAAACACAAAGAAAGAAACAGAAAATCATTGTGGAAACCAAAACTTAGAACTATAAACAGAAATAACTTTAATGCATTTTGTCAATGACAAATAAACAAGAACACTGTCTTACCAAAAGCGTAATTTATACATTAAATAGATTATGCATAGTAAGTTTAACATATTTGATTAAAGCAATTTTTCATATTAACTTGGACTGCATCTCAATCAAACACCTAAACTCAGTATATATTACTCATTAAGATTTAAAGCCAACTCCTCATGAATACCAAATTTTGGTATATCATATTTTACTATTATTGCAAAATAATAATAATAAAAAAAAAATGATTCTGAAACATGTTAAAACTATATGATGATTCCTACAAAGACATACATAACCAAGCAAGATAATTTTCAGGAATGTGTGGATTGATTTGATTTGGTTTATTTGATTATGGCAAAGCACACAAGGACTATGTGCCTCAGGAATGTATGGAATTTATTGGACTAGATTCATAAAAATGAATTCTACTTTTATAAATGAAGCAATTTCTGAATTGATTGATAAAAAATTCATATATGAAAATATTTAAAAAATGAAATATGTATTTAAAAAAACAATATACCTCATTTGAATCTTCTACAATTTGTTCTGGGTCAGCTTGTTCCTCTTCTTCTTCAGAACTGGATTCAGTGATATCATCCATTTCAGAAGGTACTTTTTCCAAGTCCATTACACCATTAGTTAATACCCCATCTTTAGTAGTTTTTTCTTCTTCACTAGGAATAGGAATAGAGCGTGTTTTTTCAGGTGTAGGTGGTGGTAAAGTAGAAGTTTCGTCATCCTTTTCAGTAGCAGGTGTAGTTTTGTTTACCGGAATATCTAAAATAATCAAAATACAATTAAACAAGAATGTTAAAAAAAAAAAAAAATGAAAAAAGCATCATATATAATGTGATCACAAATACTTGAACATAAAATTTTATTTGACTTCATTCAGTACATATACAAGGTCAGGTTCAAAATATTCTCCTTTACTAATAACAGACTTTTGCCAGTACTATTCCACTGTTGACAGAAGTGCTGCACATCAGTGTCCCATTGATCTTTCAACCCCTTCCTCATTTCATGCTTGATGTTTTTTGTGTTTCCTAAGTGTAGCTCTTACAAGACTGTTTTGATTTATGGAAACAGGGAGGGAGAAAATACACAAAGTCCAGTTCAGAGCACGAAGCATGTTCAGACACAGTGCTGGAATTATGGATTAGGAATACATGTATAATCAATAGTGTATGCATATTACCATGATGCAAAATCTATTTGCTTCCTTTCAATAACTATGACTGCACATATCATGTGATTATGTAGATATCTCATGTTGTAAGTTAACTTGCATTTACAGATTGTTGTTCTGGGCGGAATTCCTGATACAAAATTTTTAAATATAAAAAAATAGTGAACATAGTTTTAATTTTGAATCCATTTCTTCCGAAGTTCTAGTTTACAGCTTTCTTTCTATTTTCCAATCTTTGTTTTGCAAGTTCAGTGTACAGTGTTCAGTGTTGTTTTGCAAGTAAAAAATAACTTAGAATTCCTTCCAATAAGTACGACTGTACATATCATGTGTTTCTGCAGATATCTCATGTTGTAAGTTACATTTACAGATTGTTGTTCTGGAAGGAATTCCAGACACACATCAATAAAAATTTTTAATTTTGAATCCATTCCTTTGAGAGTTTATTTTACCGCTCTTTTTTTGTTTTCCAGTCTTAGTTCTTCAAATTCAGTGTACTCAGAAATTTAAGACTCTTAACTCTATTTTCAAAATAATGGTTTACCAGTCAAAATAATATTCCCTTCTTTTCAGTTTTTATTCAGCAATCAAATATTTTCGAGAAAGCTTTGCACACAGTTTTCTTTTTTCTAATTTCTTAACTGAAATTAGGTGAACTGTCATTTTTCTTAAATTTGACTCTTCCACAATAATTCAAACAGTTAGTCATTAATCACATTACAAAGGATAAAACTTGAGAGAGATTTTCATTGATGTACACAACTGAAAATTGTCCTGCTTTCATGCTGCCACTTGTGTTTCCTGCCTCTCTTGAAAACGTTTCACCCATCTGAACATGCTAACCTGAAAACTAATTGAACTTGTTGAGGGCAGCACTTCCAACCTTGTTTCAATATTTCTCGAATTTGGTCCCATTTTCTCGTGTCTAGTAACAAATTTCAATTTAATTTGTTGTTACATTAGAACACTCCTCTCAATCTTGACAATGCATAATAAAATAGTTTTAAGAAAAAGTTATTATTCATAAAGTGTTATTTAATAAACTGTTCATAAAGTATTCCTAAAATTATAATTCATAAAGTCATTATTGTATATATATCTCATGAAAACAATCTTATTGTAATCAAATTTCTAGTATAAGAAGCCTTACCAGTGCCTCTTACTATAAGTGTCATGTCAATGTTCCTAATTAGAAAAATACATCAATCTACAAACATTCTAAACAAATTACCAAGATGCCTTTCCATATAGAATACTACCTACTCATAGCACTATGCAGTCTCTAACATACAGTTACATAAAACTTAGGTTATGCCATAATTATGGAAATATTTTCCTTCATATAGCACAAAATATTTATTTCATTCTCATAATAAGAACCAAAATTACTGTATGATATTTAAAAGTGAAGGGAGATTACCAGAACTGCTACTGAATTACAAACAGAATAACACAGTTTTACTGAATTATGATCTCCATTGCTTTCCACATATACAATGTTTCATTTAAGCACCAAATAAAATTTGCTGCTTCTACTAAGGTTAAAAAAAAAAAAAAAAAAAAAAAAAAAAAAAAAAAATCTGAGTCTACACACCTGCTTTCAAAAATCAGGAAATACATAATTTTACTATGATGGCATTATAAAGGAAAATAACAGGTATAAAAAATAACTTACAGAAAATACAAATAATGCACATTTCGAAAAACATATGCTTGATAAAGTAACCATATTCTTTGAATATAGTTTTTTATCTCAGCATGGACCAATGAAGTCTATATAGCTTTCACTTGCATAAATACACTATTTTCTAAAATGATGCAAAAGATGTTGAAAGATTGTATCAAAAATTATTGTAAATAAGATTTCAGAAAAATTCCCTACTTAATTCCTTACAAAGGCAAGCAGTTGGTAACTAACCATTTGGTAGCAAATGGAGAGATGAGTATCTCCACTGTTATCTACTGTCATTGCTACCATCTGCTTTTACTTTAGGCAATTTTTTCCCCAATCTTATTGTTTGTATATTATTTAAAATAAGGAAAATAGACAAGTTTGAATATAAGGACATGTCTTATGCCAGACTGTATGTTTGACTCTCCTTATGTCATGATATACAGACAGTCCAACATTCTAGCGGTTTGGACATGAATAACTTCCGGCAACTGTACCAGCCTCCATGCACTTGTGGATGACTCTCAGAATGCTCTATGATACCAAGATAAAGTTCTTAATCAACACCAAGACCATATATTGCCAGTGTAGGTAATTCCTTTCTTTTAATGAATGCCCACTTGCAGAGAGCAGCTAGATGTTAATCAGTACTGTGCAAATCAGGCCAATGGTATTTATGAAATGGTCAAAGTAAGCTCAAATAGTTCAATCTTCCCAGTTGGAATATACTTAGAAACAAAAACAGTTGCATGCTTTTGCTTTTTATCATTGAAATGGGGCTTAGGACAAATACCAACTAACTGAAATGTCTGGCAATCTAACTGACAGCATGGTGAGGAGATGCTAAGCATGTAATCATATTAACAGCAGGTTTTTCTCACTAAGATTTATCTTACCTACAACTTTCACAAAACTTTTTTTTCTATTGAAAAGTTTTTTTTTTTTTTTTTTTTTTTTTTTTTTTTTTAAGCAAAAAATATAATTTCTTAAAAAAAGTATGCAATAAATAATTGTGTTACAATCTTAGCTAAATTTAATACCTTTTCTTTTCTTAAAAATTTTGGTTTTAATAAGCACATTCTTAAGGTTTCATACAGAAATATAAAAAACATCTACACCACCAGTATTAAGGTATAACAAACAGCAACATCTTCGTGCATTTCATATTTTATCAGTTTTGAAAAATAATAATTAGATAAATTTAACATATATGGGTGAAAATGTAGAAGAAAATAGGAACTCTAGAAATAGACACATTTGAAATAATTATATACTTTCAAACATATAAAAAAATTTACTTGAAAAGTTTTTAACAAAGAAATGAATTTAATTATTACTTAGTTCAAGTTAGTTTATACTTAGTTAAAACTTTGCAGGCATACTCTTATTTATTACACCACATAAAATAGAAGTTGCTAAATGAATTACAGGTACTCAAAACAAGATTGTATAGCATTTAGAATCTGTATTTCACATTAATTTTCCATTAGAGTATGCAGAGAAAGTACTTGAAATTTAGGTTTTTATTCATACAAATGAAAAACATTCCACAGAAAAGTATATATGGGGGGGGGGGAAATGCCAAAATCCAATAAAAATATTTTGGGGCTCTAAAGAAGTAAAAATTAATGCAACACTTCATCAATGTAATATAAGTTTTTCCAAGACCAATTTCAGATTGAATTCTGCCCGATACAGGCTATAGGTGCAGCTTACTTTTTGGATAATGTTTCTTCTTGTTTTTAATAAGAATTTTTCGAAGCAACTGATTAGGTGATGGTAGTGGTTCATCTGGCTTGAGCTGAGAACGGGAGAAAAAATATCAGTTAGCAATTAATGAATAATTAGCAATAAGATCGAAATTAAAAATAAAAAAGTAGTCTTTACTGATGACATAAAAAAACATTAATACAAAGTAAGTACTATACTGTTTTAGTGTACAAAAATCATGCCTTTAGAAATTTAAAATAAACGTAGTCACTAATGCATAATAAAATTCTAAATGAAAAATGAAGAAACAAGGAAACATTTAAAATTCCATGGCAATTCTACAAGCTGTACATGTTTCCTTCCATAAAAGCATTTGTTATCTCAGATTGTGCTAATCTAACTGAGCTTATAATTGATTTTAAAAAAAAATGAGTAAATGTGAGACAAAATGCCCAACCAAATATGTACACATTCCTTATCATATCAATGTAAATTTCTTTCAGATTCTTTCATCAAAATAATGAATGCAAAGAGTGAATGCACATGTCATCTCATATTTAAAAGAAAAGGTAACCTGATTGTGTCACATTTAACTTTCAGAGATTAGATAAGTTTGGTTTTATTGCTAATCAGTAAAAGCTGAGATCCTGTATGCCAGATGTCCTCAAAGAACTACATAGCAATTCGAAAGGATGCAATGTCAGAATAATGAAGACTTTGCAAAGAGTTTGAGAATGCTTCTACTGGATTATTGCAAGGGCTGACGTGCAAAAGTGGTGCCAATCTTGTAGTCCCTTTTCAAGTTGGAAAGAACCAAAGAAACACAGCCAAGGGAAGTTATAATGTTAACAATGTAGCAGTGCCTTTAAGTGTTTTGCCTTTGACATCCTGGAACCTCTGCCATGAATTGCTGATGGCAACATGAACATATACATCCTCATTGTTGTTGATTACTTCACAAAGTGACCTGATCAAAAGGCTGTCACAATGCAAAGGTAATGACACAGAATTGGATTGCCAGGTTTTGAGTGCCTTTTCAGCTATATTCTGATCAGGGAAGGCATTTTATCTCAATTGCAATTAAAAAAACTCTGCAAAGTACTTGACACTGACAAAATAGAAACAATGCCTTTACATTCACATTCAAATAGCATGGTAGAGAGGTTCAATTGAACCATCTTTAACACAGTTTCGCTGGTTTCCAGAAACTAACAGGAGTGGCACCAGAAACTATCCCTGTTTTCACTGGCCCATTGCAGTGCTGTTCACAAGACTACCAGCTATTCCTGACTCCACATGTTCTTCAGTCATGACCTTTATTTGCTGTGTGATGTCTTGTTATGTCACCTTATGGATGTGCCTTCATTGCCTAAGGAGTACATTCAAGATCTTCAGGCACAAGTTGAAATGGTGCACAGTTTTGCACGACAGCAAATGAATGTGGCATAGCAGAAGATAAAAAACCAATACAATACTACAGCTATAAGACTAAAGCATGTTATTATGACCACAGTACGTAGTCTCTATCTATATATATAATGTAAATAGTATACCAAGATTATAGTCCTATTTGTATACAAATCTATAAATTTATGCATTTATTTATAGATTTAGTACTTGATTTGTTGCATGTTATTTATACAAATTATTATTTTAGTACTGCATTGATTTCCCTTATTTCCAAGTATGGCTTCCTGTCCAGAGATTGTACAGCTCAGGACGTGCAGGCCTTTGGCAATGTTCCAAATTTTGTATATATGTACATAATTTTTCTGAATTTATATGTAAAATCTTAGTATCTCCTGTGTAATATGCCTCATATGCAACACTTTTCTAGAAAAATTAGTACAAGTACTTTACCAGGGCAAATCTATCGAACTTTGAGGTAAATGGCTATCTTGTTAAATTGAGAGATATTGTCAAGTTGGCAAATTTCTTTCAGCAAATTTGGTGTCCACTTGGCAACATTAGGGTCCAGTCTTTATATAACTGCAATTGGTACTTCAAATGAATAATTGTATTTGATCCCTATATGTAACTGTAATCATATTCATCTCTTATATGTAATGTTAACTGTATATGCCTTCCAGTAATTTTGAGAAATAGAAGGTACTAGAGATTTCTCAGTGGCCAGAGGGTAACTATGTAAGACCAGGAGCATGAGTTTTCAATTGTTTCAGTTCAAAGCAGATTTTGGAGTACCTAGAAGCCTCCATGTGAGCTCTGCTCTTTAGATGAGCTTTGCATTGTGTTGTGTTTAACATTCTTAGTAGTTTGAAGTGGTAACTACTAACTGTGCTCTGTTATATCGAGATGAGCTATACAGGTACTTTTGTGGAAAGTTCAATAATTGCAAAGTGTTTCTTTTAAAAAAATTAATTTTATCAAACTACCACCAGTTCTGTATACATTCAATCCATTATGAGCCCGTACACACACAATACAAATAAGTCATGAATGGAAATTAAAAAGGCACAGAAAGGATGAATATTATATTGTTTTTTAAATTAATATACAGTAAAAGCTAGAGCATCTAGGATGCTCAGGAAATGCTAAATTCAAAAAGCATTCATGAAAATTCTAGACATGTCAGGGAATAAAAAAATAGAATTCATGTTAGAAAAGCTAAATCAATGAGAAAAATTCCAACTCTAAAATTATAAAAACAATCATCTTATTTGATACTATCTTGAATATCAAAAGCCTACATTTAATATCATATTACATTATTAAAATAATGCATTAAAGACTTAAAAACTGATATATTTCATAGGTCTTAAATATTAAAGTAAAACATCTGATTATAAAAGTTGGTGCAGATGTCACCAATCATTCCAACAACAATTTAAATAAACAGATCATTCTTTATTTAATTATAAAGAGATAACAATTACAGATATAGCATATAGAAAATGTAAATCACTTGTCATAATCTTTCATGCTATATCTTCACTGTTTTATCTGTTTACAAAATCATGTATCATGGCTTTTGCTGATTGTCGGATCTTTAAAAATACTCCACTTCACGCAGTCTCAAACATTAATCACTTTTCCAAAATATGAGGATAAATAGAATTTTTATCATGCTTTACAAAAATTCAACTGGCTTATCAAGAATTAATCAAATTTATATTAAAACAAAACATAAATCTTATGATTGTGTTGTAACATAATGCATATCTATTTCTGGCACTAAATCACACTGTTTGGTGACAACGTATATGTGTTAATACTATTACCAGCTCTATAATTGTGTTACAAATCTCTCTTAAATTTTGGGGGTGAAAAAGTTTTCTAAAATTCTAAAATATTTTGATGATTTGAGCTTTCAGGCTAGTTGAATGCCAAATGGCTAAAGGCTCAGCTTTTACTTTAATTTTTATAGGCATTCTCCTTAAAATACTTTTCTTTCAATGGAAAATGAAACAAATTTGTGTCAAATAAGATCCTGCCATACCACTATTGGGCATATCTAATCAATATATACAAGGAATTTTGTTATGAAACAATGAAAAAATATCATTAAATAAAAAGATAAATTAATTTTACTTCATCAACTAGAATGTTATGAGAAAATGCAGAGTTTACCTTACAATTTTTAAATGTTTTCATGGCATTAAGGTCATAAATTTTAAATATCATATACTTTATTATGATGTCTGAATTATACAGTAGCTGCCTTATGAAAGAAATCTCATGAATTGCATTTTAATTAAATAAACACCATATAGTTTTGCATCACAGATAGTAATGTAAAAAATTGCAATATATATTAAAATTACTTCACAATTTGGTAATGGCTCACTAAGAAGCATTTCTCCAAGTATTTTTGTGCAGTACATGGCCATTTTTGCTTGTTGCTTAGGCCTAAGAAAGGAAGAATAAACTATAAGTACTTATAAAGTTATCACTCAGAAAACAAACAGCTTAAATAACCGGAAAATAAATGTCTGTAGTCTTACTTAAAATATCAAAAATGGCATTATGAATAAATCACAAAAGAAAAAAAAATTCACTTATCTAAATGTAAATATATATAAAAATATACTGCCATGATTTCCCCCAAATAAAATTTTATATCATCCTGTTCACTACCCCTTTTTGAATAATCTTGTTATATTATGTAATTATGTGTACATAATGTTCAATAATTAGAATACAGTGTAAAAAAAATTAAAGGTAGTATCAGTCACCAAAGCATACATCAGGAGTCGTTTACAAAATAATTATTGAGTTGTAAATAAAATGCATTTACATAGTTAGAGCGTGCACATAATTTTTAAAAAAGAAAACAATTTTTTTAAAATACTTTACAAGAATTTATTACCTTAGTAGCATAATGAATTTATTTTCTCAGTATTTATAATATTATAAGAAAATGGTAGTAAAACATCCACATGAGTATAAGCAAAAAGAATACAGTTGTAGTCTTCAGAGACATCAGTAATGAGTTTCTCATTTCATCTTTCATCTGATAAAGGATGATACAAGGTATACAGAAACTTCTCTGGAGCCTTATCTAAGCTATTTCCAGTGAAAGTGTTTTTAATTTATTTTTATCAGTGTGCCTTTTATTTTCATGCTACTTCTTTAAGTTGATATATATTTATAATATATGTCCACCTACAATGAAAAACATACACAGTGGTACCTCAGTATATGCTATTAGATCTTTCCAGATACTTGGCCATATATGAAGCAAATTTTTCCAATAAGAAATAAAGGCAGAAATTTAAATCTTAATATCAAATCCTATTGTTTTTATTGTAACACTGTTTAATAATACAATAGGAATGCAGTGGGTGAAATATCCTGTACATAGTATTGCATGTAAATATTTTTCCGTTATCCAGATCAAAAACAAGTTCCCAACATGCTCTAATGTCTCTCCTTGTTTGCTAATCAATTTCACCTCTTTCACTCTGTTCACTGATTTAATAGCATCTTTGTTTTTCACAACCATAGACACTATCATTCTCAAAATATGGAATATAATAGCCAAGTTCTGAATAGGCATGTTAACTTTATACTTTTTAACAATCTTATTTTCTGCCTCCACTGTGATCCTTACAATTTTTGACATTGCTCAACTCTTCTTATTAATTTTCTTAAAATTCATTTTTAATGTACTTACAAATAACATACATGAAAAAACACAAAATCACGTGAAAAATCAGAGTTACAGTGTAGGTTGTTTACTGAATAGTAGAAACAGAAAAACGATGCTCCTGCACAGTCGCAGCATTGTCTCCAAAGAGTGGTACATGCAGTCGTACTCCAAACAAATATCATATAACAAAAGCTTTCGTGACCAAACAGGATGTATATCAAGTTGAACATATTTCAAAGCATATACTAAGATATCACTGTAACTAAACTGCATATTAAAAAATATCAATTCAAATAACTCTTCATGAGAATTTCCCTTTAAAGCCTCTGACATAACAGTTTTCAGCAAAATTCCATATAAAAAATGTCCAACCTACTTACGAACAATGGTTTTCAAAAGACAACAAAACGGGATAGTCAGAAGTTTTGAAAGCACTTTCCGCTATGGCTTCAAGGACTTCCTGTAAGTTTATTGATAAAACAAAGGATTATATAAACATTCATTTAAATTATCACTTCTATTAAAAACATACAGGAGTACAAATAATAATAATCAAATATCAGAAAAATATTTTTATACATGTAATATGTCATTTACAATAATATCATTGAACTTTTCAATTACTTCTGTAAACAAACTGTTCATTTCTTATATCACATCATTTTCGACTAATTAGCTCTAACAAATTAGTGTTTGTTTCAATCTTTTTTATATATATAAATACCAGTAAAAATATATAATAAATGTAAACATTACACAAGTAATAAGTGAATATGACAAACATGACACAAATAATATTCATAATCATAAATAAGACTGAACAATGATGATAAGAGAACAATCAGATTAATAGTGACTGTAGCAATGGGCTGACCAGAAAATTTAAGAGCCCAGGCATTTTGGATATTTCATGAAGAGCTATATTTGAAAGCCATTTATTTGCTAGATTTAAATATTTACTTAATTATTACTCTTTGTTTTGATAATCTTTCATTTAATAGTATGATGCTTAGATCATTAAAGAAAATATCACAGCAAAATATTTTAACAACATGGTAACATATATATACAAATAGGCAAAACATCACATGATCATACACACTGCCACGTAATTCAGAGCATTAATAAAAGTCAAGTTTTTTCTAATGAATATTATTTTGTTTTCAGAATCTGCATAGTTTCTCACAATTATATAGAAATAATGTGAAGAATAAAATAGCTGAATTAAAATTAGCATTTATCACACAAAAATACTGTGTTTGCAGTTAATTTGAATTTAGAATAATTACATAGCCTTCTTTTCAATAAAAAAATTATTAAGTATAATAACAGTTACAGTTATATGTTAATTATAACAAATATTTTTCACTTCTAAAACATAGTGATGCAGGATGAATGATGTATCACAAGATTCTAATAGTAACTGAAACTTTCATTTTCAGATTATATATGCCTTTTCTTAAAAAAAAAAAAAAAAAAAAAAAAAAAAAAAAAAAAAAAAAAATAGAACATGTAAAAAGCAGCATAAAATGTTATTGCCCTATCCACAATTTCCTATGTTAAGTGTCAACTTTTCAAAGAAGGGATCTTCATTTATATTTAATAGTATTCCATACAAGATTGCTCTTGTTCACACAATATGCTGGATACAAATACAGTATGCTCAGTGTCTCTTATCCCATGAACAGGGGTATTTGTTACCATTTGCCATTGATGGACAATTACTATCAATGGCACAGAACAGTCAGCCAAAGACATTACGGTACATCCTATACCCTTCCCTACATATCTTTAGAAACTTTTTCAGCTGCAGAATTATTCTGCTGCTTTCACCTGGCAATATCATAGAAGCCACATTAATATTTCTCACGTCAACAGCATGTTCTCTGTCAAAGTAGCTGGTGTGATTATACAGCTATTTTACATGGCATAGAGGTATCTTTCTTCACTCATGAAGACGGACTAAAATTCCTGTGCAGCCACTACATGCTTCTAAGAATTTAAACTTAATTAAATATAACTAAGTTTCGAGCTCTCTTTGCACAGCTTTGGAATTTATGAACTAAAAATTTGTTTTGCACAGCCTACTTAATTTACCCTAAAAATATAAAAATCATAACTACATTCCATTTAGGAGTTCTTTTTTTTAGAACTGTTGCTATGGCTTATCTTGTTTGCTCACATAATCAGAAAATGTCCCCAAATTTTACTGTGGCAAAGAGTACATGATTGTGTGTGCCAGTGGCATCAGCCTTATGCAGAGCTGCATTCTAATTTTGATGGAGAAAAATCCCAGGAAATGGTCTTAACTTACTTAAATTAAAACTTACTTAACTAAGTTTTGAGCTCTCTTTGGAATTTATGAACTAATGAGGCTGAAATGCTAATGATTTGTTTTGCACAGCCTACTTAATTTGCCCTAAAAGTATAAAAGTCATAACTACATTCCATTTAGAAGCTCTTTTTTTTAGAACTGTTGTGTGGATTATCTTGCTTGTCTCACATAATCAGAACAAGTCCACAAATTTTATTGTGGCAAAGAGTGCATCATTGTGTGTTCCATTGGCATCAGCCTTATGCAGAGCTACATCCTAATTTTGATGGAGAACATCCCAGGGAATGGTCCATGTATCTCCCACCCCTCTTCCCTTACCATAGTTCGACTGCTTCATCTGCGACCATGAGCGCAAACACACATGAACCATTCGGACCGAATTATTCTCAAAATAGGGTGGAAGGATGGGGACTTTCTTTACCTCCAGCATAGCTCTTTCCGGAGAAGAGAAGACCTTTCACGTCACAGCAAGTAATACCGCCCCTTTTGGACGAGTCTATGTGTTTTGGTAGAATGCCAACCAGGGTTGCGCTTCACACAGTCAAACTATACCAAAGCATTCAAAAGGACTTTCAGCTTAGCATGTACTTTTGTGTGATTTCATGCCACACAGACACCACTAACAAATATCCATGCCTTCTCCGTGATTTGAACTCAAGCCCACAGCAGCCAGAAGTACTAACCACTATACCAATCAGAAATATTTATAGAACTATAATGTATATGAGCATAATTTTATTTGCAATTCTGATGTGTCTTCTACAGACCTTTTGGTAAATAATGACGACTTATATTAGAAGGTTATGGAAACATCATTTGTGTTACAGGCAGCAAAATTACACCAAAAACACTATTGATATACAATATGTAAATTTATTAGAAAACATAACAATTACTCTGTCTTTTACTTTTGAGATAATTAAAATTGCCTTAAGTTGTATGTCAAAAAAGTAATTTTGTAGAAAATAAAGGAAAAGATAATACTGTCAAAAAAAGTTATGGCCACATATGAAGCTACTAGAGCCTGCTTATGCTCACTTTCCCACTCTGTTGCTACATCACATATTTTTCAGGAGACTAGATGACATTTTTTCGCTAGATGCAGATATTAGATCATACTAAATACTGGCCATTTCGGACACATTCTACATTTCAGACTTCATGACTGTCAGACTTCAAACTGTAGTAGTAGTATACATAATACAAGTCCTCAAAATTTAAGCATTGCATTATAATATGCATTTAATGCAAATATCCAACATACTTTTAATAGAACTTCTGTCACTACAGTATATCCATGAGTGATAATGGGTTCTTCATCTGAATTCCTACCATTCCAACAGTCTAATTCTACACAACGGCAACCTGAGAGAAGACACTGACGATAGATTTCTACGGAAGACCTGCCAGTCAACTGATGGCCTGAAAAGTTTACAACAGTCATTATATTTTAATCAGATTAATTACTTAAATTAGATTATACTTTAATTTTATGCAAATGCTTAAAGTAACTTTGAAAACACAATACTTAATAACAATTGATAACAATTTTAACACTAAACCTTAAGCCCTTCCCAAATGATCTTTTTTTTTTTTTTCAGCACTTAATAAAAAGCAAAATTTTTTACAACAGTAATTCATTGGAATGTTAGAAATGAAATATAAATGAATTATAATTCAATACATTCTTCAAATAATAATAATGATATTATTAAACAACAAAAAATCTGAAAGGTTTCTGATTTTAAATGAAGTCTAAAGGGATTTTTTTTAACATTTTGTGTGTTACCTTTATTTATTAAATATCATGTTTGCACTTAAACCATAAAATTCAATTCAATAGCAATGTCACAAAATAATTTTAAAATGAGCATATATTTAGAATTTCCAATACACAGTTCCACACGCTAGAGATAAAAAGGGGTTTTTTCCCTCCCGGGTGGAGTGTTGCCATTGCTCACCTTTAAATCATTGAGTTTGTTACTCAAAATTTCGTTAAAGTTTTACAAAATATGAAATCAATAATAAAACCAATTCCAAATTTCAAATTTGGTCTTTCACATGCCCATATTTGTAAGAGGATTACGTTATTCAAAATCCGATTGCTCTATGTACCGTTGTTTTATCACAATGCAAGAAATATACATACATTTATGCAGATTTTTCATTATTTAATTTCTTCAAATATAATGCAGGACTCTAGCATTTGATGGCAACAGTTTGAAAAGTGAAACAGACATTTATTCAATGCAAAATCGCAAAACGAAAACAATAGTCCTTCAGGGACAAAGCCCATTTGGACTAATAAGAATATTTTTATAAGCTTTTGAAATCTTTAAATTTTAGACTTTCTTAAACCATAATTTAAAATATATTTTAATACATGGCATTATAGGTGCAATCATAAAAGTCACCTCAGGAAACAATATTTCAGTTGTTAACCTTAAAATGGCATTTTTGAATATGTTGTGTTGATTCACTTGTTTATAATTTCTTATCACTTCATTAAATATTGCAAATATGTAACATTACCATAAATAAACTAAAAGTAGTTCAATGCAAAAATTATCAAAAATGAAAATGAAAAAAAGAATCACTGACTGTAGTTTCATTGAAGACAAGCTCAGAATAGATTTTTTATTTTTATATCTGCCATAGAAAGAGTGGAAGCTGCATATTAACCAGACAGAAGTGCAGAAAGATTTTAGAAGGTTTAAAGAAATCCAAACTGAAGGAGGATTTTGGCTTTTGAAGTTGAAAACTGCAGTTTTTTTCTCCACAATCAAATGTAACTGAAGACATTTCTTCTTTTATTTCATATTTAGGTATTTCAAATACCTAATGTAGTATTTCTTTACTGTTATTTTAATGGTAAGTGGGCTTGTTCCATACATATAAAATCCCACTCATATGAAACTTTACAAATGCCTCATGACTGAAGGCTTTATACTTAACTTTTCATAAATCAGAATTAGATTTTATTGACAGGTTTTAAGGAAGCTACAACATACTGTTTAAAGCCTTTGGAAAGGAGAGGGTTACATTTAGGGATGAATGGCAGACATATGGATGGACTTGAAGTCCTTAGTTTGAAGACTTAAGCTGAAGAAAATGGAGACCTTTAAAGTACCTTAAATGCAGTATAAATGATGACGGAAGGATACACATGAAACCACAATAAAGTGCATAATTAGTTGATTTCTTTTACTGAAGTAGCAGGATGGAAGTATAAATGAATAGCACAATAAGCAAAGGTGCAAAAGACTGCTATTTGAGAAATGGGGATACATGATTTATACGGGAACTAATATATCCCTATTTCTCGAACTGCAGTCTCAACTTGCACAGGAAACTCTACAACTTTTACTGTTTTATTGTAAAAACACTTTGACAACACTGATCTAGTTTTAAAAAACTGTAATTAGCATCTTTTTCATCTTTACTCGTGTTTATTATTATACTGGAGTATTTTTTTCTTTTTTTTTTAACTTATTTTTAACTGCACAGTTATTTTCCTCAAGTATTCAAGTAAAACAATAAATGAATATTACATGTGTAGCTAAATATTACTTTGCCGTATAGCCGCCATCGATGTGTCTATTGCAAAGACGTGTCAGACTGCTGAAAAAGTGTTTGCATTTATAATAAACTGAATGAAATAATTTATGAAACTGTAATTAAGGATAGCATTGTAAAGGCAATCATACTCACATAATTATTTTTCCAACAAAAGAAGATTTAATACATTGAAGCAAATGGGGTTATCATATCCCATTTAAACGAATGATGACATTGTGTACAGCGATGCGATGCAACTTTACTTACAGATGAGCTAAGAGTTAAAAGTATATTAAACAAAATCAAATAAAATGAGCAAAATATGCACAGAACTTCCCAAGCAGGGCAAGCATGCTCAAAAGTCGAGACTTTGATTGTTGAACTTAGTTTGAGTTGCAGTGAACAGACTGGCTGCATCTGGGTTTTGGATTTTCTGCACATGTAACATGAAATAAAGCCAGTCTTTGATTCATTTAGGCGGAATAGTTCTTGTATGCTCTGCCATAATCAAATTTCAGATAGTGATTATGATCCTGCTTTTGAAATACAATATTCATTAAACACAAGCAATATTAACATTGCTAAATGAAGAAAACGAAATCCCCTAACATATAAATGATATTAACTGATAAATTAGGTAATGCTATCACACATAAATTAGACTGAAAAAAGTCTTGACAAGAAAAAGAAATGGTAAAAATATTATAACCACTCAGACAAAAAACATGAAACCTTGCTGTATGCAAAATAATTCATAAACATTTTGTAAACAAAGATGAATGTTCAAAGGACTGTATTCATACAGCATTTTCAACTTCAAAATTTGGAAAAAAAAAAAAAAAGGGGGATGGGGACATTTCCTACCTATCAAAATGAAATGCATTACAGTAGGATCTCATTAATCTGACAAATCATTGTCTGCCCCTCCAAAATGGCCATCATTCGTCATTAAGAATTGGATGTTGTTGTGAACATAGTCTTTCTTTTCTCTTCTTTTCTTTTTATCCTCACTCCATCACGTGTCATGTCCATCTATACAGTGACTTATTTGTCTGTCATTCAGTGCAGTTTATTACTGTACGCAGATAAGTTTGGCATATACTGCTATTCATTTGCATGTGTCTATGTATGGCGTGTATAATTTCAAAAACATTGTTTTAATGTTTCAAAGTTAAAATTTACACAAGAACAGAAAGAATGGTCATGAAAAGATTATATCAAAGGAACAAAACTTTGAGGCAATTAAGAAACTGGACAAGGAAGAGACAATGCAGAAGGCTGTTGACGACTTTAGCATTGGACAGGTAACTAAAAGAGACTTGAAAAGAAACAAAAGTAGAAAAATGGTATGCATCAAGGAAGAAAAAGATAGAAAACTATGAAAAAGTGTGACAAAAAAGTGAATGAAACTTTGTGTATATGGTTTACACAATTCATGGACAAGGGTGTGCCTGTTTCAGGGCCTATTTTACAGCAGAAAGATCGCATTTTCATACTGAAAGAGATCCACATCTCACAGCAAGTGTCGGATGACTGGACCAATGGAAGAAATGCTGCAATATTTGTCAATTAAGTGTTAGTAGTGAAAAACTACTATTGAATTTTATAGAAATGGAAACATTCAAGAAAACATTTCAGGACTTAATTAAAACTGAAAGCCTAAAATATGTTCATATATTTAAATCTGATGAGTCAGGCCTTAATTATAAAATGTTATCCATTAAGAGTCTTGCAGCCAGAACTGAAGCATCAGTTCCCAGCTATAAGTCTAGTAAGGAAAGACTGACAATTTTGGCATTCAGTAATGCTAGACCATTAAACCTCAAACTACAACAAACCTCAAAATGGACTTTGTAATGAGTGGAAAGTTCCAAAATTCTAGAGCTCTTAAAAGAGTTTTAAAAAGTGCTCTTCCTTTAAAATACCATAGTAAGAAAAGCACATGGGTGAGAAGTGAAATTCCAAAGACTGGTTAGTTCAGGAATTCATTGCTTTAACATAGAAGTTTGTGAAAAGAAATAATTTACCCACAAAAGCTGTTTTGTTGCCAGATAATGCTCTAATGCACTCTGATGGAGGGGAGCTTCAAGATGGTGACATTAAGGCAATTTTCTGCCCCCAATGTCAAAACTATCTTATACAAACATTACAAATGACCACTGATAATAATAATCTACCAATAATTCATTGAAAATGACATTTGTTGTTACCCGGGCTGGACTACCAATCTGAACAAAGCAACTTCAGCCTCTTTCCATGCAAGATGCTTTAATAAATTATTTAGAAACCCATTTTCTTCTTCTTTTTATATTTAAAACAAAATGCTATTAATAATAATAAAAAAAACCACCAATATGCTAATCAAATTTACAACATGTGAAAATATGAAAGATAGATGTATTAAATATGTGCAACTGATATACAGAATAAATTCCAAACATTAATTTCAGTACATTTAATAAAATAAATTACTTAATTTTTGGCAAATAAAAGAAATTAAACAACATATTTAAATGCATTTTACATGAACATATATATGAATTAAAGTGACTTCATTTTATCAGCAACAACGATGTGCCTGTTTAAGCTAATATAAGTTGGGAAAAGTAATTCTTTCAGAATATGGAAATATCAGCAACTTTTAAGATGCCATCAATTATTACATTTTTCAGTAACAGTTATATAGTAGGACCTTAGAACTGAAGTACAGTACATTAATTAATCATTAATAATCCAAAGAAAACCTAACTATGCAAAATATTTAATTAATTAAAGCAAAAATTCAACAGTTTGCAGAATTTTATTTTATAATTCATTCTTAGACAAATTTTAAAAAATATTTTAGTACTCAATCTTATCTATCT